ACTTAGCAGTAATAATATTATTGCAACAATAATAATAATTTAACAATAACAATAACAATAACAATAACAATGAACTCGGCCTTTGAGTCACATGAACAGCATTTTTCTCAAAGCCGTGTAAAATATCTCAAGTGGCTGTGCCAAAGGTCATGGTATCAACTTAATTCACAGGCTAGATAGCCATGAACATGAATGCCCTAACCTTGTGCACGATCCCCAGCTGTCTAATGAGTAAATAATGGGTTATTACGCTGAGAAATAGAGGATATGGTTTAATTTCTGTCAAAATAGTTGTGATATCAAAGGTCAAGAACTGCAGGAAAGAAGTAGGCAGTTGTCTTCTCCAAGTTTGAGAAGTAGCATTCCTTTTAAAAGAAGGTGTACTTCACAAGGGTCATTACATGAATATGTTGTAGCTATTCTGGAAATATCGGGCCCAATGTAATAAGGCACAGGTTTATAGAACAGATCCCTGAATCACAGAGTCCTTTCAAAATCAGATTGCTGCTCACATCATTTGTAGCCAGATATTAATCTCAGCAATATCAGTTTAAATCCAAAGTAACTACATCAGCTTCAGTGGAATTACTCAGGATTTATAATAATGTAGTATACAACATTATCTGGTCACCTGTTTCTTGCATTGCTAATAGTTTTAATTTCTCATCTCAGTCTTCAGGTTTATTTTTCATCTGAATATTCAGCTACTTGGTTTGTTTCCTCTTCAAAGCCTTATTCAAAGTTTTTTTTTTATTAATGCAAATGTATTTCCAGTTTGTAAAGCAAAAATCATCAGCAAGCGCAGATGTTCCCTATTAGTTGAATAAACAGGGGCTTTTCAGTGGATTTATGAGCATGCAATAGGTGCATTTGAGAATGAAAGGACAAAGTCTGAGGATATGCATGCACGTGGTTTAGACAGTACCTATCGCTGTTAATTACCAGTCCTAAAATGGATAAGCTGACTACCAGCTACTGCCAAAAAAACACCAGTGTAACAAGTGAGAAAATAGCTTTTGTGCTCTCCTGATCAAAGTTTTCTGTGGAAGTAATTAGGAAAATCTCTGGAATGAAGAGGACAGATAGAATCTGGTATTCTGTAAGCTTTGACATGGATCAGACTATTGAAGAAAAGAGGTCATAAACAACTCTTTTAACCCTTCTCAGGCTTTATAAAATGCAATTTGGACCAAAATCTAGCCACTTGATAAGCATATGGCAAGGAAACTCAAAAGTAGAGGCTAGTAAAGTAGAGGCTAGTAAAGAGTAGGCGTGTTCCACAAAGACTGTCTCCTCCAGCACTTTGATCTTCCCAAAAGCAATGCAAAGACTTAATTCCATAGGCTGTCCTTGGTATCTCTTGCAGGGAAGAGATGGATTAGAAGACAAGGGGGTCTAGTCTGCCCACATATATGTTTGTGATATCTGCCCCTACTATATCACCCCCTTGGCCCTCTACTAAAAAAATAATCTGCACACCTGCATAAATCTGCACAGTCACACTGCTCCTACAGAATGTTAGAACTCAGATATTTTTCCCAAAAAACCTCTATCTCTGTAGACCCATGCTGTTATGACCTGTAATTAAGATTGCTGGATTGGAATATAGCCAAAATGTAAAAGTCAGGGTAGGATCTAGTTTGCCTTTTGTTCTCTACATGACATCCCTCACTGTCAGAAATGTTCAACTATTTTGTTGTGCTGCCCTTAAAAGAGGGAAGCACTGGATCCATCTCTGGATGCTTCTCTGACAAATTTCTGAGTTGCATTCTGACCTATCTCAATTCCTGTCCCCTTTTTTTAAGTTCAGCCTTTTTTAAGTGTTCACAAGCTTTTAGAGGTAGGTCTACCCCTGGACTGAGATGGGGGAATGCTCTGAGAATTCTGAATGGTGAGACAAGGAGGTTCAAAACACCATCTGTACTGTTCTCTAGGTATCCCTTGATAAATAACAGAACAGTAAAGGTAGTTTTGATGTGTTAAATCCCTTCTGTGCCTGACACAACTCACACTTATACCCCTTCTAGTGGGGTCACTGGGTACTGAGTTTCCCTCTAGATACTACAGTTGATCTCAGCCTTCTAAGCAGCCTCAGCCCTTCTTTGTATTGCACAAGTTGTCCACTGCCTCAAGGGAGCTATTGCAGCATCCTGAAACAGATCTACTACCTTTACATCTGGCTTTGTGCTGATGAACTGGTGCAAAGTAACCACAGCAGGGTACAATATCTGACCTCATATTCTTAACTCAGATACTTCAGGGTACAGACAGAAGTGCAGCTCCCCGAAGTAACTCAGAACACTTTTGTAGTTCTGAGTTACAACGATCCCCTGGGCCAAACAGAAGTTCTAGGGGGGAGGGGAATTGAGCTGCTGGCTTTGAGCCTGCAGCTGATTTACCCTTGCAATGGCCCCTCCTTCCTGCCCAGCCATGCTGTTTTCAGAATGGGAGACCAGAGGGAGCTCATTCTAGGGGTTCCCCAGCAAATGCTGGAGGGTGACATGGGGAAAATAGAGGTCCCCTACCTTTAGGGGAGCTCCAATATACTTGCCCCACCCTCCAGCACGGCCTGAAAAAGCCGTAGACAGAACTCCCTCCTCTCCCTTTCCCCCTTCCCATTCTGAAAACAGCTTGAAGGCTGGGAGGCAACACAGACATGAGTTACAGAAGATGCTGTTTTGAAACATCTTCATCTGACCCCATATGCAATAAGGGTTCAGATTTTTGCCCTATCAGCCATTTTGAAGCAGTCAGCAGCTGTGGACTTGTATTTGGTCATGGCTATAGACCACATCCTGTGCCAGATAGGGTGAAAATTAGCACTTCTGTCTGCACCCTTATCAGTTACCTCTTAAATTTGTTTCTATTTCACAAGTCCATGTGAATTGTTTTACTTATTTCTTACAACAAATGCTCTAATCCACTGGAGGAGAGAGGGAGGTTGTTTGGCGTTTTTTTAACCACACCTCAATCCCAGCCAGCTGGAGTTCATGAATAACCCTACAACCAGAAGTATCCTAGAGCTTTACAAGGAGGGTGCAAATAAAAATAAAATTCTGTTATGCTTTTGCCCTACTTTCACAGTGGTATTTCACCAAATGCTAAAGAAGATATTCTTTCATTTTCAGATATTTAAAGTTTTTATGAACAAAATAATTTATGCTTCTTAAACCAGTCTAACCCAAATTATTATTTACCACAGAAAGGTTTCCTGCAGCTATTTGTCCTCAACTAGAGCTATTAGTCAAGGTGACATAGGGAGTGTTGAAATAGCAAATCTTGTTAGAATGCTAATATTATTAAGACAGAAGTTAATAATTCTGCAAGTTAACTTTATGGCCAATTAATCATGCAATACTATATGTGCTAGAGGCATCTTACTATAGACACAAATATCAATTTATTAGCATTAAAGCACACTTCAGAAACTTTTTGATTTGAATATAAATCAATATAATGTTGAGCTAAAATAGAAGGTCTTTTGAACTACCAGGTATTCGGGCAATGATTTAACATCTTGTGCATTTAAAAGGTATTGTGCAATGCAGTGTCACTCTTACCTCCATGGGAAAAGCTTTAAAATTAACAGTGTGTTCAGAACCACGCTGGTTTTCTCTTCCCCAGTGAAATCGAACATCATATAGTTCAAACTCATGTCCCCGAGGTAATGGCCCACCTACTAACACTGGAAAAGAACACAAATGGTGACAGACTTAACTTTCCAAGAAGACAAGCTGCTGAATACATTCTCTACAAACAATGGGGAGATTGTTGAAAACTTCTTTATTATGAGCCATCTGAGAGAAGCAAAGCAACGTTAGCATGCCTGCTACCTTTTCTTCTGCATTATCACCCAGCTGCAGAACCCCAGTTCATTCTCAATTATATACTGCAATGGAAATTGTATTATGCTGAAATCTTGATTTTATGAGGCAGAACAGGTAGTCATAATGCAAGATAAAAAGCTTTGTATGTTTATCACTCCAGAGAGTGAATAGGTTTATAGACTGATAACCAAACAGTAGGTCTCTGTTCTAACCAGATGATGAGGTTTCCTTCTGGTGTAACACTAAATAATTGCCTCCTGGTTGTTGTGAGGAAATCTGTCAATAAAAATAGGGTAGAAACTCTTAGCTGCCAGTGTTTTCTTACGTCATGATATTTTGTCATAAGCCACCTATCAGGCTACAAGATATGAAAGGCCTTATGGTCAGACTAATCAAACCTAAACAGTAGCAACATGCCACATTTGTGTACAGAACAGACCACCCAACTTCCAGTATTTTCTTTCTCCTGCTTTCTAAAACCCACTTCAGTGAATTTGGGATAATGTCTTAAAAGTAAAACAGAGCTATCCAGCTCCAATTATAATAAATGATAAATTGGATATTTTACCTAAATTCATCTTTTCATGCATAAATAGTGCATAGTTATAGTTAGTTGTACATGCTTAAAAACTCTGCCCTGCTTCCTTCTATAGAAGAATTTGGTTCAGTGAGTCTTGAAGCTACTTAGGACCAAGTGTTGCATTCTGGCAAATATATGCAGCCCTTCACTAAAGTCAAAATGTGTTGTGCGTTCATACCAGTGGAAGATTTTTGCCTCAGGGTTAGGGTTTCATGCACCAGCTACAAAGCACATTAAAACTCAAGTCTCCCATATCCTGCAATGGACTTTGGATTAGACCCTCCAGGATTCCATTAAATATTTCTCAATTACATTTTATTGGGATTTATGCAATAAGAAAACAGGGTAAATTTGCAGAGACCAAATTAGAGCTACATATATAGCATATGCTTTCATGAGCTAGACCTCAGATGCTGTAAAGGATATGCACAGGGCACTGTATTTACACAGAGATCCACAGCTTTAAGTCATTTTTGAGTGTTAACCAGATATGATCTCACCTTCAGTTTAAAGAAGTCATTGTGACAAAATAATGGTAAAATCCACCAGCTACATCGTATTGTCCAGTTTGTCACACAATAGTAACAAAAATTAAAATTAAGACAGGCAATTGTAAAATGTCCAGAAGTAAAACTCACCATTTAAAATATCTGTAATAAGGTAAAGCAGAAGACAAAGTAACAATTTTTAATAAGTATCCTTATGGTGATAAAGGCTGTATACAATTAAAATGAGGCAGCAGGCTCTTAAACTACATTAAACTGTGCGTCTTGAATTCCTAACTATATCCCTAGAGACCCAGTACTAGCTGTCAGCTTTGCAAATCTGGTAAACTTTAAGAAAACCAAGGTGTCCAGGATAAAGGAAAATTCTGTGCATATAAATATTATTTATTTAGTAAGTGAAATATTTTACTGTATTTTTTAAAATACTGCTATCTTCTGTGTGCGCTTAGAAATGCTCTGTGTAGAAATATTGTTTTGGAAATGTATGACCATTACCACATGAATTTGTGAAGCTAAATTCACAACAATCAACATGTAGCAAGAATATCATCAAAACATGTTTTACTTCTCAGAAAAGTGTGATCCCCACTGGAAAATCTTATTGAAAAAGTCATGATGGAGCCCCTTTGACCTGTACTGTCAGCACATGAGAAGCATTTGTTAGTAGAGTATCTCCTAAAATACTTCTCAATATTTCAGTTGTTTAGGAAATATTCTACACCATTGCAAAGTTAATCAAGCCTTCCTAAGCTAAGGCATCATACACAGAGGCCACGACCACACAAAATGCTACTGCACAATAATAACGAGCTACTGTGCAGCAGTGTCAGAAAAACCTGTGCAGGGATGCTACTGTGCAATAACACCGGTTACTGCGCACCCATTAAGTACTTGGTTATGTAAGCACTAAATGACTGCACAGTAATAACTGTAGTATGCCACTCTTTTAGACACAGCCAGAGTGATCAAACTAGAGGTATTCCTTTAATTTTTAAATATTTTAAAGGCTAAACCAAATATGAATTTCATCTGAGATATATATCCTTAATTAAGAATTTAAAAAGCTATCATTAATGATAAGTTGATATTTTAATATATGTTTTAAATTAAATCATTATATTTTATACAGCTGTAATCTTTTCTATGGCTATTATCACCACAATATCTGTTTACCTCTCATAGATTAATTAACTGGATTTTCCAAAGTACTTAGAGTTTAACAGTTCCCATTATGAAAATCAGGCTAAGTGTCCTCAAAGCACCCCTGTGAAGTAGAAAGCTATAGGAGTTCCAGCAAGGTCAAGGTTTGGCCCACTTAAGGAATAAGGCACAACTTATTAACTCTTTCCTCTCATCTCCTCTCCCTATAATGGAACAGATACACCTATTTTACAGATGGAGAACAGGGAAATTAATTGCTATGGAAGCTGTAGGAGAGCTGAAAGAAAATGGAGAAGTACTGTACCCTAATCCAGTGCCCAAATCTCAAGCCACCTTCCCTCTCCTTTATTTTATTCTATTCCATGCTGTTTTCTATGCTACAGTCATCAGTCCAGGCTCACACTGTCTTCAGACTTAAAAAAATAATATTTTCTTCTCATTTAGATGAAAAGGTGAATGTGCACGTATGTGTGTACATATGCATGTATATGTGAGGATATGGAATTTTTGAGCCTCTCTTCTTTCTTTATAATACTAAAAATTGCTTTTGTGGGGACACTAGGTTCAAGTGAGTTTTACATTTAAACATGCAAGCAGTGAAGTTTGTGATCACTCTTGTTTCCCATGCAAAGTAACTTCATAACCTGTCAAACTAGGTGCAAAGCAGGCCCTGTCGTCTGAGTACATAAGCCTCACCTCATCATGGTCAAAATCAGAATTTCTATTTAGTGGGATATTCCAAAATTCTAGAAACAAGTGGTCTCGATCAGACTAAAAAGTTAAAAATAAATTAAAATAGACAAATAAAATTAAATTTCTCAAGAAATGGAAAAATGGGGGTGGGGGGAAATCATTGTAAAACTTCAAAGCAAAACTGAATATGGGAGCTTTTCTCTCAAGCTGCAGGGCTCCTGGCTCATTTACGGTTCTCAGGTATCCTAGGATCTCAGCATCAGTCTCTGTCAAGGAGCACAGAAGCTTGGGGTACCTCAATTCCAGCTAGGGTTCTCAGAGCTTCACCTTCTTCCTATGAAACCAGGAGCCAAGTCCCAACTAGAGCCCAAACTCCTAATTCCACAGACTTCCCCCAAGAAGGATGGATGTCCTGGGATCTTTGCCTCCAAGGTACAGCAGAAGTTTCCAAGCTGAGGCCCATGTACCAGGGACGGTCCTCCAAATACTTTCTAGTAATTTGTGGAGAGCTGACACAATGCTAGCTTTTATCTTTATTCCCAGCTGCTAAATTGTATTAAAAAGCAGCAAACAAACTCAACAATATTATGTTTTCTGAGTATTAACATTAATCCCTAATGCTAGCACAACATACTAAAGCTCATATCAAAGATGTAGAGTGCTTATCTGCTTCTGTTGACATACAAACCTCTCATCTCTATTATTGGATTGGAGACAATAAGCATCAGGGCTAGAGGTTGTGCCTTTGGTCATCTCTCTTTGCACACAAGGAGTGCCTATAGATCCCCTCAGCATGGGAAACCAGGGAATATCATCTAGGGAGCCCGACAGTGCCAGGAGGAGGCACTACTGGAATATCTTGTACTCTGGCAACTGTCAGGTACACAACAGACCCTATCAGCCAGCACAGGTTAGAACGAATCTAAGACTCCTTGAATTATACATGGGCTGAATTGACCCTTGACTAATAGGAAAAGCACAAAGAACTACGTCTCTCCCCATTCTTTCTTGAACCTCAAGTCCTGCAAAACTGACAACTCATCAAAAGCTGATGTTCTGGCCCTGGAATTGTTCCAGAATTGCACCTGGAAATGCTTCCTTTATTGTCTTCTAATTAATTCTGAGGTAAATAGTGGTGCAATGCCATTACAACTGACAGCAATTTGCATCTGGAAAATGTGCATTGTCAATATTCTAAACAGAAGCACTGTAAGTGTTTCATTCCAAATCATCTCTGCTAGATCAAATCACGGTCCACAGTATCCATACGTTGTCTCATCCTGTACTCATTTAAATTAATGTAGACTCCTCTTGACTTACATGGGCTTTAGGTCAGGTTCACAGATCTTAGTCAACTAAACTACATGATAAAATTTAGGTTGTCTTAGGTCATATTCTGGACTATTTCTGAACTGCAGGCACTTGTTAGCTAAAGGGAATTAGGTCACAAGGCCACAAGTGCCTATTTTCAGCAATTCATCATCCTATGAAACAAACTGACAACAAAGGTCCTTGTCTTAAGGATGAATGATTTGATTTCTAACAGGTTCTCAAAAAGAACATCCAGTTTTGGACTATAATCAATGCACGAGACCTTCACCTGCTTTCTTTGAAGTCGGGGGCAAAATTCCCATTGGCTGCCAGGATAAGCGATGATCAGCCTCCCAGTTGCACAGAAGGAAGGTGACCAATTGCTTTACGAACAATACACCTTGCACATTTATACACCAATAAAAACCATAAAATGATGTTTTGCTTTGTGCAGAAAAGATGGAAACCCTGTTGGAGCATACCTGATTTCGACTTCAGGACAATCTGAATCGAATGCCCATCGTTAATGACTTCGCAGTCCCGGCAGACAACATAGTTTGGCGCCAGGCGCACTTCCAGGAGAGAAGGGTCATATTTGGCTTCTCTCGAATTCAGGTTGATCGGAGACTGGTATTCCCCATTTGCATCAGGAAAAATCAGTCCCCACTCCACTCCTGCAACATGAAATCACGTGGAAATAAATTCAGAGAGCTTTGCCGTGATGGAGATGCAATCTGAGGGGATTAGGACAAAGGCAAATAATGAGAGGCACATGAGTCCTTTCCCTCAGTATCAGCCTCAGACCCAAATGATTCATAGAAAATTAGGGTTTGAAGGGACCTCCAGAGGTCATCTAAGCCAACCTCCTGCTCAAAGCCAGACCATCCCCAAGTACATCATCCTAGCCAAAGCTATGTCTACCAGGGTCTTAAAAACCTCCAAGGAGATCCCACAACCTCTCAGGGTGGCGTGCTCCAGTGCTTTGCTACCCTAAAACATTGGATTTCTTTAAAGCCACCCTCGTTCCCACAAGCTTTCTCAAGACAAGTTTTCAAAACACGGGAGGGTCTATTTAGGAGAACGACTCCAGCCCCAACAGTCCACCACTTGTGTTTGCTTCTGCACAAAAGAACATGTGAGGAAAAATCCTCCTTCTACGCAAGACAAGCCAGAAATCTCCTTCTTGGCTGAGAAATAAGCATCTAGCAAGCTGGCGGTGGGGTCATCCCTCCAGCCATGCTACGAAGGCGGGTGGCTCTGCGGCGCTCAGCCATGGGCTGGGCTGGCCGGTCCTGGGCGCACCTTGAAACAAGCCGGGTTCCCTTTTGTGGGGGCTCGTTTAGGAGGAGCTGGAGCTTAGGTCGGGCGGCGGAGCGGCGCCAGCCAGCTCCCCGCTGCCCGCGGCCGCGGGGGGGCTTGCAGGTGGGCGCCGGAGCCGCTGCGGAGCAAGCCCGGGGTGGAGTGCCGCCGCCTCCAGCCGCCTTTACCTTCCTCGTAGCCCCACTCCAGAGCCTCGTCCTTCCGCGGGCACGGCTCGGACTCCTCGATGAAGCTCTTGTCGGCCATGGGCAGCTCCCCGCTCAGCCGCGGTCTCGGCTCTGCCTGTGGCCGGGAAGGGCGCCTCTCTGCCTCCCTTCCTCCCTGCGTCCGGTGCGGATCAGGCATCAGCTGGAGGCTCAGCCAGCGCGTGCCTGTGTGTGTGTGACACACACGTAGCAGCGAGGAGGGGGCGGGTGGCTGCAGTCCCCGGGCGGGCTCTCGCCGGCGAGCACCGGGGCTCCCGACACGCCGGGCCGGAGCTGCGCCGACAGCAGCACAAGAGCAACCTGGCACCAGAGAACTTCTTATCCGAGTGCCCAGCTGGTCTAATGAAAGCTATCCCAGCTACCCAGAGCACCCTGCCCGCCTGGGTCCTGAACCAGCCAACACCCCTGCAAGAGCAACCCACAGCCTTCAAGTAGGAAGGGGCAGAGTGAAAAGAGCAGCCCTGCTGGGAGAGGAGGACAGCACTTCAAAAAATTTTCCTCAGCATGACCCCATTGCTGGCCCCGCTTCCTCAGCATGACCCCACCAATGATCCCCCTTTCCTCAGCATGGCCACTCGCTCCCAACCCGCAGCCCCCCATCCACTGATGTTGCCACCTCAACTGCTTGGGAGCCGCTGCTCCAGCATTTTTCTGCAGGCACCAAAGGAGTGGCGGCTAAAGGCTGACATCCATTGAGGGGCAGATTGAGTTGAACAAGGGGCACCTCCAAGTCTAAAAAGGTTGAGAAGCATTGGCCTAGAGCAGCACTTCCCAAACTTTCCCTCAGCATGACCCCCTTGATGGCCCCGTCTCCTCAGCATGGCCCCTCACTCCCAACCCACAGCCCCCCACCCCCACAACCCCATCAGCTGATGTTGTCGCCCTGTTTTGGGTCGTGACCCACAGTTTGAGAACCACTGGCCTGGGAGGCTGTGGGTGGCTACACACTACAAAAATTGGTATTTAGGGAATGCTGAGGAGAAAGACCATGTAGGCTGCACAGACAGACAGTGTAGACCAGGGGTGCCTCTAGCCCATGAGCCAAATTTGGCCCATGGAGCCATGGCATCCAGCCCACAGGGATCCCCAAGAGTCAGGAAATCTGGCAGTGGGGGAGTGGTGGCAATGAATATGGTCACCCTCTGCCGCTGTCAAATTCCTAAAAGCAGGTTGGGACCAGGAAACTGCCTGTGGCATGTATATCTTAAGTGAGGCAGACACTTCCATTTTGGGCAGAAAAATTATGGCGACACAATGTAAGATGGCTGTTACTTCTCTTGCCTCTAGCAGCCATGTGGAAGGAGGGGCAAAGTCCAGGAGGGACAGATCCAGCAGGGTACAGTGGCATGGTTGCACCCCACTTTGATTCCTGCTCCACCCAAATTTAAAACCAACTGCCTGGCTGCAGCCGTACCATTTCTATTCAGGTAGGGCTGACTTCATAGCTCATTGTACCTGATTCTTGCTAACTGCTCTTCAGTCTACAGATATCAACAACCCTCTCTCCTTTTAATGTTCCATTAATCAAGCTTTCTTCAGCAATTTGGCTGTATATTAGCTACTCCAGCTGTCTCTCCTCCTATTTCACAGCCCTTTGGACTGGTTTTAGCTTTTTTCCAAATCCTGGATCTATGGAGTCCAATCTTCAGCAACAGCTATAGTTTCAGCTTTTGACTGAGTAACTAAGAGCTGCACTCAATTCAGCTGTGAAATGGTTAAAACTGTAGCATTTGCCTGAGCAGGAAAGGGAGTGTGAGCAAGCTGAAGATAAGGCTCTGTCCCTGCTCTCTGCAGCTATAACTGTAAAAAATTTTCTTCTTCTTTCTGCCTTCCCTAAAACAAGGTGAGAGTCTTATTTAGTTATGCATGGTATGTGAGAAATCTGGTAACAGTCTTGCTGGACTCTTTCTAAACCAAGAGGTTATTATCTTCTTAATATAACGTGAAGGACTCTTGCCATGCCATGAGAGAGTCCAGAGAAGAGCCACGCTCGTGATCGGAGGTCAGGAAAACAGACCTTACGATGACAGGCTGAGAGCCATGGGGCTCTTTAGCCTGGAAAAGCGCAGGCTCAGGGGTGATCTGATGGCCACCTATAAGTTTATCAGGGGTGACCACCATATCTGGGAGAATATTTGTTCACCAGAGTGCCCCAAGGGATGACGAGGTCAAATGGTTATAAACTACTGCAAGACCATTTCAGGCTGGACATAAGGAAGAATTTCTTTACTGTCCGAGCCCCCAAGGTCTGGAACAGCCTGCCATCGGAGGTGGTTCAAGCACCTACATTGAACACCTTCAAGAGTAAATTGGATGCTTATCTTGCTGGGATCCTATGACCCCAGCTGTCTTCCTGCCCTTCAGGCTGGGGGCTGGACTCGATGATCTTCCGAGGTCCCTTCCACCCCTGATGTCTATGAAATCTGTGCTTGGTGGCATTTTGCTTGACTACAGGTATAGTCTTGCAAACAGAATGTCTATAAAGAAACCATCTAATGGTAACTTGAAAGCAGGCTGAAGAAAATATGCACATTATATAACAGGAACTTTTGTCACTTGAGAAGTTACCCATTCAAGTCTCTCTCACGTGTCAATGGCTATACCTAGTAGTATGTTTTCCTCTTTAAGCATTTCTTTAATATACCCTAATCATTTCTATTACTATTTATGCCAATTCATTCCATAAATTAATCAACCCTGTGAAAAATCAATTTCTCCTTAACCATCTTTGCTTTTTGACCCCCTGACTGAAAATTCACATCCCTTTCCTTCCAGAATAGAATACATCTAAAATAATTCTGTGGAGTCTAGACTCTTTCCATTATGACTTAAAGATACAGTACTTCATCCATGTCCTCTATTAAGTCTGCCCCTGCAGTAGTTTTCCTGTGGGGAGTCTGTGCTAGAATCTTACACAGGTGGAGAGCTGCATGTTCGGATTTGTACTTTCCTGTTTTGTAATAAATACCTATGAGTAGTTTTCCAAGTCCTCATTCATAACTGAAATTAAGAACTAAGCTACTTACATTTGCTGCCCTTCCTTTTACCTTTCCATTTTTTTAGTAGCTTTCTGAAAAACTGAGCACAGTAGGCAAAGTTTTATTGAATACTTGGCATTGCATTTTTCCCTAGTGCATACTTGGGTTTTTTAATACATCCAAATAGCCTATTACTTTGTTGGCTGCTGCCAGGAACTGTGATATTCTATACAAGCACCTCTTAAATCCTTTTCTACTAAGTTACTTGTGAATCATTTGAAGATGCTGGATAAAATTTCAACAGGATCTAAGTGTCTTTGGGTCCTAAGTCACTTTGAAAATCAATGGGATTTAGGTTTAGCTAAGTAATTTTTAATTTTTTTACAACTTTACACTCTACAGCCAGTTCAGTTTTCTGACCTATGACAAGATTGTCACACACTCACTCACAGCAGTTGCAACTCAATGGAATAGTGATTCATTAAAATTAGTACATGTTAGTAGATACCCCCCCCCACCACCACCATGAAAGTAAACAGCTTTGCAACACCATGAGAGTCCTCAACACATGCTAAACTACTTGAAGGTGCATCTGCTCATGTTCTAACTGTATTTAGTAAGTGTGACACCATCCATATGCAGGAAGTGCAAATATCCTGTAAATTGCTCTACACAGACTAGAAATTAACATACTTTACACTATTAACTAATATTATTTGTATCCCGTGACAATCACTTTATTCTTCAAAATTCAGAATCTTCACTTTAATTAAATACTTTATGTATAGGCATTCACTGATTTATATCAGCTGGGCATCTGCGACGCATCTCTTAAGCCCACCTTACACTGATCTTCAATTTAACAGATTTTAAGAATTCCTGATTATTGGTGAGGGGGAGTAGTTGACTTTAATATAAAAGTACAATAACTACCCATGAAAGAAGTGGATTTTGCAATCCTTACTCGGTCAAAATGCCCAGTGAATCTCAGCTGGATTTTTTCTCAGGGACTGCAGGAATAAATATTACATCAGATCAGCATAATAAGTGAGGTGAATATTATACTATTATTATGGTAGCAAAAGCTGTGAGGTATTTTGTTCCATTATTCATTGATTTATTTATTTTTTGTCACAGTAGAACTTAGATGACCTGGGACTGGTACCACATCTTACATGCTACTCTGTTAACAAAGTGAAACACAGGCCTCCATCCTGTAAATAAGAAAGGGGCAAAAACAAGAATACAGTAGTATCAGGGAGATCATTAATATAGTAAGACATAGAACTCTGGTCTCCTGAGTCCTAATCCAGTGTTCTACCAACTTCTTTCCTGTCTTCTAATATCCTAGCTAGGCAGCTAACTTGGATAGTTTATCTCAGATTGGATGAATTAAAGCAACATTTGTTGAAATCAGTATTAAAAGGTCTATGATGAACTCGATGACCTAACTCTGACTAACCCTGGTTTATATTTCTATTTCATTTTTTGAACTTTGTAGAACTGAAAAGAAAATTTAGACTAGAGGCAGCTGAGTCTCCATTCATCTAATATTTGTTTTTGCTACCTGAAGGATTGTGCTTCAAAATCTTTTCAATTTCTGAAATTACGGTATTATTAAACTGCTATCAATTAGGGTTGTGCAAAGCTTCGGTCCTTGATTTGATTCGACGGAGATTTGGCGGCCAAATCTCTGAATCCAGATTGAATCACAGGACCCTTTAATCTCTCTGAATCAAATCGGTACCCTCCAAAATGATTTGGAGAGATTCGGAAAGATTTGGCAATTCGAACATAGACACAGCTTTAAATGTTTTTTCTACATACCTCTAGGTAGCAGGCAGCTCATGAATGCTGCGATGCTGCAGACTCGGGAGGCACCAGTCACCCATGAACCAAACCATTTGATCTAAATAACTCTGGAAAGTTTATATCCATAAATTGTAACTGACAACAAGACACATTTTTGTAGATTTGAATTGCAAGCTTTGAAAGAAAGTATAATTTCAAGCTTTTACTTCCAGGTTTTACAACTGACAAGGGGAGAAGCTGATGGAGAGAGCAGTACAAATTGTTAAGAAAAACTTTTTTTGAAAGATCCATACTGGTTCTGCTGAGCTATAGGGCAATCCTCCTGCCAATCTCTGTAGTAAACATATAAAAGAGGTTTACAGGTCATCAGATTAATA